TTTACCAAATAACCAGCTCGAAATGAAAACACGCGAGTAAAATAATGGGCAAATATTTGTCAATGGTAGAAACCAAAGCTACCAGCGTGAGATCGTGTTTCGTTGCCTGACGGAACATTGGTTGGATCGCGTGGAAACGACCGCATCGGAAACATCGATAAATCATTTATCTCGACGACGATAACACGACGCGACGGAGGCTGCGAACGACGAATGCCAATCTCGTCGCGATAACGATCCTCGTCGCGCCTAAAATGAAAAACGTGCGACTAACGAACCGACTGTGACAGACAATTAAGACCACGGCGCACGGAGCAGAGAACAGTTGGGTGTTAGTCTCGTCCGACAGCGCTTACTACAAATCAATTATTGTTAACTGGCCGCGATAAGATCGGCGATTAATAAGGGCTGACTAACGGAGACTGGGAAAATATGAACGGGCCTCGACGCGCAGAGCCGTCGAGAGGTATGAAATCTATGGGATGTATTGTTCTACGGCAGTGACGGGCAACTCAGCGTCCGCCAAACTCACTAGCGAGCAACAACGTGCATCATGCAGGGCCTATGGCAGTGGTGGGTGAAATGTGTGAATGAGAGCACGTATCTATCATTTTTTGCCCGCCACTTGCCCGTGCGGGCAACATGCCCGAGCGGGCTCGGTTGCTTCATGCAGGGCCTATGGCAGTGGTGGGTGAAATGTGTGAATGAGAGCACGTATCTATCATTTTTGCCCGCCACTTGCCCGTGCGGGCAACATGCCCGAGCGGGCTCGGTTGCCCATCGCTGTTCTACGGGCTTTCATTGGCTAATTAACGTTTGTTCCGTGGCTCATTAACGTCCGATCGCTCGAGGGCAACTTTAACAGCTGCAGGTACTGTCGACGATTAAAGTGTCGCCTGGCGTACCGGACGATCGTCGTTCATATCAATTAGCCCCGTGGGCGCGAATCCGTTCCTAGAAGCTACGACAGCGCATTATCAACGACGATCGTCGGGTCGGTTTATGGTCTCCCATGCGGAATGCCAGCGACGGTCGCGTCAGTGGCAGACAGCCTGGCAGCGAGGCGATCCCTTTCTCGGAACGGCGAACCCGCGATTTGTATGGGGATCACACACGTAGTCCCCCGTATGTGCTATACCTTCTGCATTTTTCTACCTTTCTATCTTCGCGTCGGTATCTCGAGTAGTTAAAAATACCGGGGGAAGAGGGTGGAGAAAGACAGACACGGGGCTGCACCGCAGAACTGCGGCTTCACGCTTCGTTTCGACGGAAATCGACCCGCGGATATATATATATTGTTTCCCCACACCGCTTTGTACACCGTGACCGACGCGTAGCGAAAAGATGATTGGTCTCTCGGGTGCTATCGATTCGCCCTGGGCCTTAATCTCGACTCGTTCCTCATCCCGGTATAAATTCGATTAAACGAACACCTTGCAGCGTTCTAAAGATCTAGGCGGGAATCCTGACTAAAAGAAAAGGGAAAACAACGCGTCACGCAGCTTCCAGTTTCGTGTTTTGCATGAAAATCGAGTTGCTAAACTGCGCGTTTAACGCGAACATATGTGACCCAGATTTCCATAAATGCAAACAGGCTTCCAGCACGGTCTAAGCGGACCACCGCTAGGATTTTTGGGTGGTCCGAGGCGGCATGGACGATGCCCGGCTCCGATATTTAATAACAGGAGGTGCACCGAAAGCGCACTAACGTCTCTTAATGCTCGCCGCTCAGCGTAAGCTACATTTAAGGGCGCTTAAAGTATTTCCCTTTGGCCCTTTTCGGCGGGGCATCCCCGCCTCGAAGGTTTACACCTCCCCGGGGACTCTTTTGGCCCGACCAATTTGTAACCCTTTCTCGTTGGTCGGTGCGCCCGGGTTCGAGGTTCGATCGCGAATTCCCGCCCTTTCCGCTCGCTGAAACCGGGCCTTTTTACTGCCTACTGGAGCTCGGCCTCCGTCTGCAAGATATACCCGCTTCACGCCACTGTAAATTTTACTGGACACTTTATGCCTGTTCGCAGTGGTCGTTGGCACAGCCTCGTTCGAATAATTAACACGTAATGCCGATATGAACGGCAAATAGACAGCGGCTCGATTCGTTTTACGAGTCCTTCTATTTCTGGGCAATCTGTCGCACTGTAAATGCCAGACGGTAGCGAGACGAATTTTATTGTTCGCCGTGTTTCCCTGAAACCCGTGCCAACGCTGCGGCATTTTTTTTTCCGCAAGCCGGTTACACGCGCGTCTAATATTTTATTGCGGCGGGAAGACAATGCGCGATAATACGTTTAACGACCGTGCTCGTTCCTGCAGTCCCGGACAGCGTGCATACAAACGAGACCCCGATCGCTCCTCGTGATCTTTGCACCGTTGTTTCGATCGACGCGAAAGAATTTTCCATTGAATCGAGACCGTTCGCCTCGTATGCACATGCACACGTTCCGGTCGCGTTGCTGGACCGCGTAAATCAGCCGCGAGAATTTCCGGAATCGGGGAGGATAAATCATCGAAAACACCGCGATACGCGACGCGATCGAGAGCGTGTTCGTATCGTTAGGCGAAGCGCAGCGAAATCGATTAATCATCACGGTGGAATGAGAAACGACTTTCGTTCGTCTCGAGAACGCGTGTGGTCCAGTTTACAATAGCCGTTATCGGTGTTATAGTGGCGTTACCGAGCGTTACGCGACCCAGCGAAATCTTTGAGAGTGTCCAACCAGTTAGTAAAATAAACAACTCGATGTCGACGAACCCCAGAATTTTTTATTCTCTCCGACACTCACTGTCACTCGTCGTACACGACGAATCGTCGCCTCGCGATCAGAAACCAGTGACCTCTGACACGCGGAGTCGTAAAACTCTGACGTCTCGATTCTCCGAAATTCATTCCCTCTGCTGTTCGCGGTAAATATAACCCGGGCACCGGTCGATTTTTCCTTGTTGTCGATTATCGTAACCGCGAGTACAATTGAATTTAATTATTCTCGTATATATGTACGACCGGTATCTAATCGCGACTCGACTCGATAATTCCTCTCCGTTACTCATCCATGCGTATATTAAAGTTCGAGGAATACCAAACGATGAGCTCACGCTTTTCGAACAGGATACCTACGGTACAAGTTTTCGAGCGTTCCCGCGATTTCCTCGGATTTTTCTGCGATTTTTCGCAGAGACCTGAACAGCGCAGAACCCTATAAAAAGGTAAGCGGCGTCTGTCGTATCTAGAATCGAGATTCAGAGAACACGATCTGCTGTTCGTCTTGAAATTTGGCCCAAGGCTGACCTCCCGCTGACCCTGATTCCTTTGGGATCGTTAACGATAGTGCAACACACGCATCGCTCGTATTTATTGGCCGCCTAATCCGCCTGCCCGCGAGCCGACATCAAAGAGAATGGAAGATTCCTCGTGGCCGACCGTGCTTCGAAGCCTTTATATTTTATCGTTGGCAGAAAAAACCTGCCCGAAACGTAGATCCGTTAGACGATCTAAAAGAGGATCGACTACTTTGAATAGAATAATTACCATCCAGAAACATGTTTAGCATACGTGGTATGGGTGCGAACCGAACAAGCAGAAGCGCGGCTTTCCAGTAGTTGCAGTCTTTAGAAACATACATACGCAGGTATAGTGGTCGTACAAATCAATCCTTTCCCGCTGTCGGTGTAAATCCATTTAGAGCCAAGAGCTGTTCGATCGCGAGCGGAAAGATAAACACCGCGAAACCGTGGCATAACTACCGATACATCGCGTTTCGAGTAATTGGCCGCATTGTGAGAGCCGGACAAGTTAATTCCAGCCACCTTTTGTCTGTTGCTTCATGAATTATTTCGAGCTTCACCATCGCGGTACTAGAACATGCTATCAGATCGAACCCGTTCTAGAAGCGATAAGGAAAAACAGATGGTTGTTTCGTACGCGTGCACGAACAACGAAATCCTTTCTATTCAATTACTCGGTTGGTTCTGTTCGCAGCGAATGATTCAGAGCACCCATCTAAAAATCGCGATAATAATAACGCCTACGTAGAATCAACTATGGCCAGTTCCCCAGCGGTCTGTATTTATGTTTCGAACAAGGACCCACATCCTTGGCTCTTGCAACACGAATTATGGATCACTCTTGTATAATGCAAGAGGCAAGATGCATCGAAGCTACCGTTGAAAAAATTCAGCCAGTTGCAAGAACGATAACAAAACCAACGTAGCATGCACGAAATATCTGTGGGACCGTATGGGATCGAGCGAAAAGAAATACGCGAATACGGGTCATCGAGGTGTTTTTTGAAGCTCGAGAGTGTATACGTCAGGGATGGCGTTCTTGCAACGTAATCGGCAGCGCGCGTCTGCCTGAATGAGAGCGCGTCGTGCTCGTGTAATCGAATGGCACGCGAAAAAGAAACGGCCGATGGGACGCGACAGCCGCGAGTTTCGAGTGTCCATCGACGAGGAAGAGGCGGCGAATCGTAGCTGGCGGACGCGTGAAGTCTCGACCTCGGGCACCGAACTTCGCAGAGATTCTCCACTGATTCGACTCGCGTAGACGGATCCAGAGAATTGTTTCTATTAAGCGGCTCGAGATCAAAGGCTCCAGATGTTGCAGACGGCCATTAAGTAGATCTCTGTTCTCTTTCCGAACAACACGACCCGTCGGCGTCGAAGGAGGTGCGTCGGGGTGAGATGCAAATTCGCTTATTAACGTTTATCTCCCGAAGGAAATCTCGCGATTGTCCCCACCACGGGGAAGTGTTGGCCACCCACGATCCGAAAAAACGATCAAAACGGGAGTAAATTTATGCGATACTCGTCCACCCTTTCGATCGCTAATCGCTGCAGCTTTATTGCTCGCGCGTGTTTCGACGTCGTAGACCACGATCGGTCGGCTCTGCTCGATGTTTTACGTTTCACAGCGATAAAAACTGTAACGTCGAACCGTATACGGTATTTTGCGCGTTGATTCTTGACTATATAACTGATCCGTGATTTTTTGTGTCATTCAGGACTATACCGAGAATGAGGACGAGGACGAGACGTCCACGACAACCACCACGACAACCACCTCGACCACCACCACCACCACCACCACAACACCCAAACCTACACCTGCCCAGAACTACGATTACAGGGATCCCAGGACGTACGATAGCGGCACCGGTGCCCAATACAACGGCTATCAAGCGAAGAACGATTACCCGTCGATGTCCGGGCACAGCGTCCACAAGTGGCAGTCTCTGGGCACTCGAGAGAGCGTTAAAGAAACCAGAAGCAACATGCAGCAGTACAACAAGAACGGAAAGAGTAAGTTCGCTCGCCACGACTCGCCTTGTATGCTCGACGAAAGAACTTTACACGAATTCCACGTCGTTCGAAAGCTTTCCGCGGACCGTAATCGAGATGCCTCCTTGTCGATTTATGCAAATATTCGCGGGCCACCCTCGGTACCTCACCTGTCGACTCTCTCGCAGGGATATTGTTATTAATCGTCGTTAAATCGACGATGGTGGTCCCCTGGCATGGAACCGTCAACGCGATACTTCGTGGCCAATTATGTTCTCGAACGTAAATATCGGGTAATTATCCGGCCGCTCGTTAAATACGGCCCTCTAGAAATTGGTAGTTAAAGTATGGAGTATATAATAAACTTTAAATTGCTGAAAAATCAAATTCAATGAATCGAGAAATATGTACCAGGACTGCGGTACTTCTGCTCGAGCTCGTAGATACCACTGACAATGTCTCGCTTAAGTATCCAGTTTTCTCGGGCCGCTACATAAACAGAGTTTTATACGATTTATAGATGGCTGCGAGAAACGTGTATGTGCCAGTGTGACGTCGTAAAAGAGACTACACGACAAAAACGGCACTGTCGATCGAGTCGAGTATGCACCAATTTGCAGCCATCACGTTGACCGTGTGCTCGTATTAGACATTCTACCGCTTTCGTCTGCTCGCGGAGGCGTCACCTTGCACCTTCACCGGCCGCGAGATTGCGCAAGAGGTTTCACGTTTCGAGGCGATGCGATCGCAAGATAGCTCTTCCGGCGCGATCGGCGTCTATTTCGCGGCAGGAGCAACGCTCGATCGCGTAACGGAGCGCGGAGAGCGGAATGCCAAATGGCCTATTAATATGCAAATTAATGACGACGATTGCGCCGTAGCCACCGTGATTGCGGCAATTCCGACCGCCCTCATGTACGAAATTCTCGTGTCCCACACGAGACACGTACGCGCACGTGTCCGCCCCGCGAGACTTATTTCGCGTTAATTCATATCGACACGATCGACTCGACGGAATCGATTTGCCGCGACTCGGGCACGCTGCACGCCGACGAACAACACTCGGTTCGCTACATCGCGGATTTTCAAGTGATTCGGTCACACGATGATATAAATCCGATTTTACGGGAGTCTCGAACATTTCGGCGTAACGATGTTGATTTAAGAGAGACTCGAACGTCCTTACCGATCGAATCTGAAATAATTCAAAGACAGACAGTTTCGTTGATAAACGAACAGGCCACGGACGAAAATCAATCCACCGGGTGGAAAAACAACGGACGATCAGATCCAATCCCTTTCTCTTATAATACATTCCGGAATACGTTTGAATACGGGATGTTCGGCGAGGGAGCGGGCGCGCATACTTCAGGATCCCTGACGGTCGTGCCTCTATTGTAAACGCGCCGATATAATCTCGTGTCAGTGCAGCCGTGGCGAGAGTAACGCCTACGTCGGGAATTAGCATAGCCAGATCACCGGAGTAGATTAAACGAGAAAATAATTCTACGCCGGGAGACGTTTCGGAAACGTCTCCGTTGAATTGTTTTCCTCGCGCTTCCGTGCCACGCGACGACGCCTACTGCAACGGCAATTAGAAACGCTCCACCTTTGGCCCCGTAATTCCGTGAATCGTCTTCTTTCCTTCGAGAAGGGGCCCGCGTTACGAGGAGATTATTTCATACGACCGAAACGGACCAGAGATCGAGAAGGTCTCTCGTGGAGAGAACGTAGCGTTTCCTCGAATAACCGGCCGACGTTCCCTAGTTAAGAGGTCGAGAGTTTTTTTATCGCGAGGCGTAGGACCGGGGCCGGTCCTTAATTTCGCGAACCCTGTACCCCTCGTTTCATCTCTCGTTAGCGATGAATTCCCCGTGGCTTCTGGAACGACGTTCCATTTATTTTCAACTTGCAGGCACGTCGATTGACAAACGATAGTTTAATGAACGACGAGTGGTCAAAACGCACCAGCAACAGAGAGGCATTCGCTTTCGCATCCGGGTTCGCTGATCACTCGCAATAATTTTCTATTACGAGCGACGTTCAGTCTGGACTTCGCAGGCTTCGAGCCGAACTTGGCCCGATTAACCCCATCGACGCCGAACTATGCAAACGTCCCCATGAATATCCAATTTGTAATCGTTTAAACGCCGTTGAATGAATAGTCCACCGCGAAAGTTTCGCTAAAAATACCGCACGATACACGTCGATCTCACGGACACGTGAATCTCCGCGGGTCGAATCGCAAGTACCAAGATCGAACGCGTAATCGTCGTGTCGCCGTGACACGATCTTTATTTATCGCCGCGATTAGCGGCGCGTTTATATCTTAATATCGAGGCTGGATCGCTCGAAAGGGCGCGCATTAACGTCCACGGATTCCTCTGTGGCATTTGAAACCAGCAGCATGTTTACGGGAGAATTTATTGATTTCCCGGTACAATGTAGTTTCTCCGGCAGTCGTACATACAAATTGCGACGCCAGCGATGGCCGCGGCATAATTATCGACGGCTCGTGAAACGCGTAGAAAGCGATTATTTTTCGAGATGCTTAGATCCGATCTTCGACCCAAATATTTCCCCGTTGGTCCTGCATTTCATCCGTGGAAATATGTACAATCTGGTCTTGTTATCGTCGCGACGATCCGATGTATGCTATTAACTCTACCGCCGAACATCATCGTACGAGAAGGAATGCTCATACGACAGATTTATCTGTTCCGGATCGTCCGGATTTAGAGTAAGATCGTAAAAAAAGATGATCGGTTTTCTTTGGCTTGTTTTCAGAGGCAACGTTATTAAATGAAATTGGGCGTGTTGTTTCAGCCGCGGAAATTCGAGAGGCTCTTCAGCATGCGATCAAAGTATCCCGAGAGGGTAGCTGCCAGTGGCCACGACCGAGGGTGATTCCGGTACGCGACGTTTACCCGAGTCCGTCGACCACGTACATTCCACACTGCGCCATCCTGCACAGGTGCTCGGACGATACCGGATGCTGCAGATCGGAAGCGCTCACCTGCGTGCCGAAGCACTCGCATCGCGTCGAACTCTCCTTCTACGTGAGTGAATGATTACCACGTGTACCCACCTATATACCCTCGCAAGCAAACTCGGCTTAAGGGAAATACCTTCTACCCTTGGTCACGAAGTTACTTAAATTTATGCCAAATTAACATTTGGTTTAACATTTATTTCAGTATTTGAAATAAATATATCAAGCATTAAGAGGCCCTTACCCTTACATTGCTTTTCCCCCTAGAGGAAGCCGACTTTGCTCGTTAGTGTAGATACTATGTATTTATCTTCGCGACGCGACACAACGATCCCAGAATCCCAGTACCTACGGCTTAAACGATTACTTCGGGAAATAACGTTCCTTGTGCTGATGGCACGACAAACGATCTCGCAAGTATATAGGCTCGTTTCACGGTAGATGAATTTGCATCTGGCGAAACGATGGACGCGACGAACCAACGGTGAAGACTTTATCTTCGTGGAGAAAGTAGCCACATACATACCATTAATCGCGCAAACTATATTGCTGGGAATTTATTAGAGAGAAGCCTGGGGGCCAGTCGCGGTATCCCCAGGCATGATTTATGGAACGATTTATCACCGATATCAAAGTACAAAATCCTATCGCGCGATTCGAAATTTTGTTCTTGGAAAGACAGCTCGCGCGCAGTTTTCTGGCCCGTTGCGTACAGGCCGGTTAATGAGCGGCGACGTTATCGGCGAACCGCGAATTCGATGACTGCACAAAACGCGCTTATCTAACGCGAACCAGAGAAAAATCTCTCGTAAATTTCTCGGCTCTCGAACCTGCCCATTAGTGTCACGGAAAACGAGTAGTTCGTATGCCCGTTGGAATGTCGGTGAAACGATTTTTCCTTATCTCGCGCGACCGCACCGCCGCGAACGATCGAGTGTCATTGTATTTATCGAACCGTTCGCCAAACGTCGCTCGATGATACTATTTTACCTGCATCGTCCAGTTTTCTGTCGATGGACCAGTCTAATTAGCGTTCGTTCCACGAGTCATCGGACTCTCGACTCGCGGCACAACTTTCGATTCATAACGAGTCTTGTCCCGTACACTCCACGGAACTGCACGGCGTTTACCGACGCACCCTTTCGGAACCAGTATAACCATAATTGCACGAAGGACACGCGCCTTCTTCCATGGTGGTCCATCGTGTCGCGTTAACCGCACACGACTATATATTTATGCACGAAATCGATCCCCGAGAAGAAAATTATTGGTTCTCCCACCTGGGTATTACGTAGTTGATTGTCGTCGTCGTTCCGTGATCTTAAGGTTCCCTCACAATTTTGCCACGCTCGAACAACACAATTGTCTTCGTGGACGGTCAAGGACCGAAACGATCGAGAAAAATCAGACGTCGAGCTCGACGTGATTCGATGGAAACGCGACGAAACGGAGAAGTTTCTTGGATCGTTTTCTCTCACGAAATGATTCGCCGACAAAGGGCGCTGTCTCAACCTTTAGACCTTGGTTTCGCGAACCGGTAGTCATGATTATGCAACCGCCGGCGTTTGCGGGTTAACGTTAAACGCGATCATCGGGCAACCCGATACTTTGGAGCACCGTTTTATCACGCGATTACAGCCGAGCCGGCGGTCACACCTCTTCCCCTTCGCCCCGTCAGACACCGGTGCTTGACCCAACCTAATTTCATAAACGAGGAAAGCCCTATATATATATCAGTCTCGAAAGTTAAGCAGTCGATGCGCATACTTTACCGTCCGGAACTTATCCGAAACGAATAGCGTCGAGTCGGATGCGGACTCGGACCATTCAAGATGGAATGACACGGGCCGGACGGTATTCTCTCCGCGAGAAACGAACGAGCGGCGTGGCCAATTAGCCGTTAATGGCGTTTCATTGAAAGTGCCTTGTCCCCGGCGCTTGTGTCGTAACCGAGAGGACGTCGCGTCGCCAGGATTTTTGCAATAAATTACGCGATCCGTGTAGAAAAAAAAAAGAACCAGGTAGGTACCGTCTAGCCGCGAATATTCGAGCCGTAAAAACGTTCCGCGAATGGCCACGTAGCGACGAGACTCTGGGATTGGTTATTAAAGCCAGCATAGAACGAATCGCGCGTTATGTGTGCCAATGGTAATCAATTTGGTTTTTGCGGTCGGTGTAAATAACGACGCGGCTCGCCCCGGGACTGTTCGAGATCGATCGGTGTGCAGACTCCTTAATTAATCGTGCTTGCGCTCGTATACTACACTCATCTCGGAGCGGGAACACCGTGAAAAATTGTAAATAGAAGCAGGATGCACGGGGAATTTATACGGCTGACCCGTTACTTTCGATTCGCCAAGGTCCGAAAGGCTTGCCCTCTTCCCTCCCACCTTTCCGATTGACAAATCGAACTTCGGTACGGAGGATCGCGAGTATTCTGGCCGCGACAAGCACAGTCATTGATTTTTCAGCGACGAACGCTTCGTTCGAATCGAGTCGTTAAACATTGCAACTATCTTAATGAATCAATTAATCCTGATGGATCTATCGTATTCCTACTGGATGCAAGCCGTGCGACGTGAATTAGATTGAACTACATTCCTAGATAATCGAACAAAGCGTATGTATCTTGTTGGCGAACCGATCCGTTACTGTTCGTTTCTTCGTTGGTTCGTTCATCGAACGATCACGGATCCTCTAATTTGATACGAGTCGCATCAGGGTCACGGTATTATGTACCCCTGTTTCGGTACCGGAAATCTTGACAGCGAGAACATATGGAACGGCCCCTCGTTAAGTGCACGGACGGTTCGCGTTCGACGGGAAGAAAAATCGAGCCCGGTATAAATCGCAATAAGCGGGCCCCGCGTAATTGGCGATGCAGAAGCGCAATAATGCCACGGGTGCAATTTGCATTTCGCCGCAATTACCGTTCGGCTTTGCCACGCGGAATTAGCATAAGTTCTCGTTGACTGTTGCTGGGAATCGGCGGTGGGCCGCTCACGCGTTCGTCGGTTCTCATTGTCCGATTTTTGCCGTGGATACGATTTCACGAGAAATCGTAACCGCTTGCGAAACCCTTTCGATACCGTGTACGACAGTGATCGATCGTTGAACTCCTCTTGCGCCGTCCTCAGCGTTCCCTCGATTTAAATAGACTCCTCCGCGGTTTTCCCGCGCTCGAATTTCGTGCTTTACGATCATCGTGATCGCGTATTTCTGTCCGCGGTGCAACCGAGGCTACGGGCATGGCAGTTTCGCGGGGGTTTAATGCTCGGACGTGATAAACGACCGTCGCTATTTCATAAGTCGCGCGCGCGCGAACGCAAACTCGAGCGCTGGACGCAATCTCAAGTGTCCCGCGCTCGATGACACGTCAACCGACAGTTTCAGCGGATTTGATTGCCGACCGTAAAGCGTGTCCTATCGTTCCTCGCAACGAGTGCCTTGACGCGAACGCAAAAACGGGAGAAATCGCCGGGATGAAAAACGATCGAACGACATGTGGAAGTAACAAACGGTCGAAGAATTAACGCGATCGAACGTCGCGTGTTTATCGGGCACGATCGAGAGTATTTCCGTCCCGGTTATCTGGGAATAAGGTTGGAACGTTGACGGTCCCGTGCTCGCCGAGATACGTCATTCACAGCATTTCATAAAACGCGAAAACGTTAATTGCACGTCCAAGAACTGGTAGATACACGTACTTTCTAAAAGCGTGCACTTTATCGCGGCAAGAATCGCCCGATATATCGGTACCCCGGCGAACACCCACGCCGGCCATACGGCCAATCAGAAGCGAGGCAACTGATTGTGATAAATGTACGGGTCCGAATTCATTGGGGGTCACGTCTCGGAGAAGGCTATAAATTTAATAGGTTACATTCGGAGTTTTTTGTCGCGCGGTTGCTCGATACCATGGAATGCGAGCAATCCCGTTCACGGTTGCAGCATTGCTTACACTTACACAATGCGATTAAGCCATTACGTCAATTATCGAGTAATTTCCAGCGGATGGATAAACGGGCGAGGGACCGAGCAACGTGGCCGACGTTGATCCGGTAAAGTTGCTCGAGCCACGGGCCGATTAAGATCACGAGGCGGGCGGAGGAAAGATAATCTCGACGTAGAAAGACCCCTTGCTCCACAGATGGGCAAATTCATTATCTAGATAAAAAGTTTCGAACAACGAATAAAAGATAAAAAAAAAGGATTTCGTCGTTTTCAGAGTTAAAGCTTAGAACGACACCCTTAGATACAACTGCTTTTCATTGTGTATTAATCGAATAAAATCCTGTCCAACTCTGCTTTTCTCTCCGCTAAGAAGTCTCTGAAACGAGTCGTCGACGAGACGTCGCGCTCCAGTTATCATCTATAATTATCGCGAGCAACCCCTCGTCGGTTACCACCTGCCGCGGGGCCAACCCCCATACGCCCGTCAAACTGATCCCCCCATGACATTTCGGGTGTGTTGCACCGCTTTTCCGGCTCGCGAAGATGACTCAGTCCCGGAGCCAAACCGAGGTTGGCCGCGTATCAAATTCGGCCCCCGTACGCATGTACAAGGGTTCTAGTCACGAGTGTGCGTACTGGTGCGTGTCCACGATGCGACGCGACGATGTATTATGCGAATCTGTAGATGGCCGACGAAGCACGACACACGAGGCGCGAACTTAGGGTGTATTAATACCGAGCAACCGTAACTTCCGCGATACCGAAATACGCTGATTTATGGTCCACCTCTGGATCCGGGCTTACCCCCCCGAGAAAAGTAACTGGGTTAACGTCTGTCGATCGTTAAAACCTTCTGGAACCGATGCACCCGTGACGTTTCAGACCCGATTGTAGAAAAGGAATCATCGTTCTAGGAATTCTAAGTTCATCGGGATCGGGGCTAAAACGTGAAAGACATTTCGAATCCGAAAAGCACTAAAAGCGGTCTGATCGCCGAGATTCCGGTAAATCGTTTCGGGTTTCGTTTCACATCGTCTGCTCGCGAGATATTACCGGAACAAAGACAAAAGTCTCCCGTTACGGTGACATCCTCTTAATGGTAGGCTGTAGAAA